CTGCCCGGCCCCGTCACGGCTGAGCCGCCTCCTCCCCTAATCCCCGCAGACCGCGGGAGCGCCAGGAGCTGCCGGCACGAGTTGTTCGCTCCGGGCTGACTCGGGTAAGCAAAAATTTATCCTTTCCTTCCCAATTCGGCGGGGCCACCCGGCTGTGCCCAACAGGGGGTGGTTGGGGTCAGCAGAGGGGCTTCCCGCACAGCCCTGGGTCCGGCTCCTCCGGCGCTCACGGTGCGTTCTGCAATTTCATAGAAAGCTCCTTCTGGCATTTCACTTCAAAAGCATCTTAAGGAATCGGAAATATTTGCCATGAAAGATCGGATTTTGCAAGTGTTCCTCAGTGCTGCTGTCTCGGTGCCCTGGATCGGGGGGGCGGTGGGATGGACACGGGGTGGTTGGTGGGGATTTGTTTTGAACGGGGAGCTCGTGTTTTCAAGTTCTCGTTCCCTTGTCCCCAGCCCAGAGCCCGGCCTGGCACCTCATCCATTCACACCCAGATTCCTTGGTTTGGTGGATTTTTTAAAGCAAAGCCCTTTGACTTGGTATTCCCATTCTCTCTAAACTTCTTCCTAATCCTAAAGGCAAACCCAGGAAGCAGCTTGAACCTCCCCCTCCCCACCGAACTTGGTCACAAGACTATTAATCATGTCTTACAATCATTTAGCTAATGCAGTAGATCCATTCAGAGGGTCTGTCTGCAGATGGATTTGCTACCGTGAGGTATGAAAGTGGAACAGATTTCTTCAGGAGATATTTAAGCAAGGTCATAATAACACTCATTACCCCCTGAGCAGTGATGTGGCACTGGCTGGGTCAGGCAGAGCAGCAGCCACAGGGATTGACTTATTCTGCAGAGGAGGCCAAAGGTTACACATTAATATTGAAACTACTTACTACTTCCAGCAAAGACTTGATGGATTGAAGTCCTGCAAGTTGCTTAATTTGTTAGGAGGGCGAGAGGGCAGCTAAACAAATTAAAGCTGTGTTATGTACTTCATTTTCATCTCCAGAGGTCTTTACCTACATTCATTAGGGAGCATTTCCAGCCTATTATGCAACCTGAACACACTGCTGCTCTGGCACTGTCAGAAGGTGAAGGGGCAGAAGGGCACAGGCTGCCCCTGCTCAGGGGTGGGTGTTGAAAACCACAAGTTGCTCCCACGCAGGTGGGGTGTCCTCTGCCCCCTTCTCCACCCAAGCACCCACTGCTGTGCCTGGAGGAGATGCCCACCCAGGCCAGGGAAGGTGCCCATGTGAGCAGGGGTCAGGAGGGAGGTGACAAACACGGACACATCCCACAGCAGGAAACCTGCCCGTCCCAGCCCACATTTCCTTAGGATGTTTTCCATCCCTGTGAGAAGAAAAGCTTCTTCAACTAAACAAGCAGCTGCAGTAAACCCTGGTTACCCACATGCTGTGCCAGCACTGAGGAGGGTCAGGACATTGCTGGGCCTGAGCCTGATCAAACAGCAAAAACCAGACAACAAACACATCAAACATTGTATTACCACAAACTACTGCAAACTGCAACAAGTGGCTTAAACACTGAGGCAGAGCAAAGAGGAGTTCCCAGAGCCTGCACCAAGAAAATCACAGGTCCCATCATCCCAAAATTACAGCTGGACTGAGAGCATCCTGCACCAAGCCCCTTGGCAAATACTTCCCCGTGCACCAGAAGAGGCAAAAGTACAGAGAAACATATGATCCACCACAAGGAAGGAGGAAGGTGGGCAAGTATCCATCACCCGAGCACATAAGCAGCTTTACATTTCAGGCAATTCAAACATTTCATTCTTTTCCTCCCAGAATAGCAGCTCTCCCTCCCTCCCTGGCAGAGGGGAGGCAGGAAATGACTGGCTCGTGATGGCACCGAGAACCTGAGAGAGGGAAACCAGAGCCACGTGGAGGGAGTCAGAGCTGCTCATCCAGCCCTGCCTCCAGACACCAGCACAGCCCAGTGCTGTACACAGAGAGTGATGGGAGGAACTATAAGATGAGCAGATGATTCACAAGAGACTAAAGCAAACACGATCCTACCTTCCTTGAGGAGCAAAATCCATTTTAAACAGAAACTTGTTGAATTCATAAGGAATCAAGCAGGAGAATACTGAGGGGGTCGATTTGGGCAAATTTGGGCAAATTTGATACTTGTGCTCAAATGGGCCAAATTGTAAATGGCTCCATGGTCCCCTCCCAGCAAGGGGGTGACAGCCACCCCTGCCCTGGTGCCTGTGGCACAGACCAGCCTGCCCAGGAGGGGTCCCTGCACTGTGCTGTGCTCAGGCTGCCCCCAGGGAGCTTGTGCCAACTGGGCTGAGCTTCAGCACAGGGACAGAGTCTAAAATACCCCGTGTCCCCGGGGCCAGGCTGACCTACTTCTTTTACTTGATACTCTTTGTTTGACAGTGGGCTGGGAAAGAAACAGAGAGGTCATTTGAATTTCACCCATCACTCAACACCACACTGGCATCATGCATTTGACATTTATTTACAGTGGGTAAAACTCACCTTCCACCAGCAGGTCACTGTCTGTGCTGAACATTCTCTTCTTGTGACACCCCAGCTCTGCAGAGATTTGGGATGGGCAGATGAGTGTGAAATGAAACTTCATTTTGGGGCTCTAAATATTGGCAGAAAGGTTTCTACTAATTAATCTGCATTTTTGTGAAGAACTTTTGATCTTCAGTGGGTCTGAACAGGAGGATATGGCTGTTTTTTATAAGGAGTTGTATTTCTAGGAGTCACACATGCATCAGAATCCAGAAGGTAAATGAACATCAAGTGCATGCTGGCCTTTGGTGATTTTATGGACTGAAGCCTTCAACTGTTTACAATTGAGTCAATTTTGTTTTCAATAATGTTAAATTAACCTTTAAAAAATTGTGTCAAGGAGCTCAAAACCCTGTAACCGTGCTAATTAGGGAGATAAAGTAGGCTCAGGAGAAATTCAATATCCAAGGTGTCTGTCATGAAAAAAGACCTTTCCTTTTTTTTCTCTGCCTCAACACTTCTGCCTTTTGCAAACACTTGTTTTTGCACAGAAGATGGTGCTTTGTCTCTGGAAGGCTCAGCTTGTGTCCCACAGGCTTTGGGGCAGCCCTTGCTTCTCTCAGGAGGTGTGATGCTCCACGTGCTGAGGGGATGCTCCACGTGCCAAGCCCTGCTGCCCAGGGACATGTAGAGTCTATTGCTTTTCTATCTTGATAGCCTGGAACAGCCTCATCTTTTATTTTTTTTTTTTCTAGTCTCAGGGCTTCTTTTTCACCTTCCAGCTTACATCCAGCTCTGTAATGTTAGACTTGATCTCATTAGGTGTGCTTAGATGTCTGGATAACGTGTCACACCTCCCAGCCCCTGTGCAAGCTCTAATTCTGCCAGGGCTGGCTGAGCTGCCCCAGGTGACAGCATTACCTGGTGTCAGAGCCAGGAGCCTGGGCAGGGCTCTAAAGAGCTTAGGGGCAGCCAGGAGGTGGGGATGGGACTGACCAAGGTCAAGTCACCCATGAGCAGCAGGTGTTTCAGGTGCACAGCCCAGGGAGCCCCAGGGCTGCTCTTCCCAGCACAGCAGGTTCCTCTGATGCTGGTGACAGGGGCTCGAGCACCACCCCAGAAAGCTGCACTTCCTACAAGCTGCCTTCACCATCCCCTGAGCCAGGGGCTGCAGGCAGGACCCTGGTGCCACAGAGCTGCAGCACAGACACCCGTGGGGCAGGGAGCAGGGAGCTGGGCACCCCGGCCATGGCAGCTGCCTCCCAGCAGCCAGCACCCTGTGGGAAAGGCAATGGGGAGGTTCTGACTCAGAGCAAAAGAAATCTGTCAATTAACAAAAATTAAAGATGACAGTAGCACAAACTGTACAAGACAGATCAACAAAATGTTTCATATCAATTCTCCTCCCTGCAGTCATGAGCTCTTTAAACTATTTACTATCTGAGCAATAAAGCAGCTCAAACATAATCTATATCTGTCACTAGTTGTTCTTAATTTTTAACTCATTAAGCCATCGATGCTTTGGT